TGGCCTGCATAAAGTGGAAATCTTTTGTATTCCTTGTGGTTGATTTTTTTTTCAAGGAAGTTGTTTCTCAATATTGTGAAGTGAGAATTGATTTTCCCATTTGATGTTAACAAATCTTTAGAGCATGTAATTGAATGCTCATTATTTAAAATTATTTGAATTATACATTTCTTTCGAAGTTAATTATTCCCTTCCTTCCAATATTTTTTTTTAAGATGGATAAACAGAAAGAAAAATAACTCTTTCCATTGAAAAAATATCTTTTCAATGTAAACCTAGAGACATCATTTACAATCCATAGGGGAATTGCCATGTGATCTATTATCACTCAGGAAGTTCACAAAGAAAAGTCAAAAGAAAAAGTTCATCTGAACTTAGTGTGTGAAAATCGTTTTTCCAAAATTTCCCGCAGTCACGCCACTGTTCGTATCCAAAATCCACCATCAGTACTGCACAGCTGTTACACGGTGCACGAGGGACATTCGAATCTGCACTCCCATTGTTGAAATGAACGCGAGGCTTTGCCGTATGTGGATGGGGTGAGATCTCAGATTTTACACTACTATTGATTTATTACTCTCTATTTGTGTTGCCAAAAAGGTTTATGATGATATTAGGAGAGGACGCGTAGTTTACATGTGCACCACTTCAAGTTTGAAGGGGAAATTTGAGAAATTGAAACGCGATGTTCTACGGAAATAACTTGTTAGTTTCCGAGTTTCACTGGTGGTGCAGGATATGGTTTTTATTACAATGATAATGGAAGTAATGATGATATTATTAACAACATCAATAATAGTAATAACAACAACAATAAGAATTATAGTCCTGCACCATCTGGATGTTGGAAAGATGTATACTTACCCCGAGGTGGAACAACCCCTCTTACAAGAGGTAACATCAGTGGAAAATTCTCTCCTTGGCAACTATCAGAACAAACTCCTACAGATGTGGTCATCGGAACCGTCGCGTCGGGGAAGAACAAAGTTGCTGCAACAAATATGCATGCCGTTCCAATCTTATTTTACTCGTTTGGAGTAGTGAAGTATCAACTCGACTTTAATGATGCACCTTCATAGGAGGTTGTATCCCAATCATCAGTTCCACGGTGGTACTTCCCTCGACAACAGGGAGGCCGTGGACTTCCGAGTTTGGAGTGTATACATGACAGAAAGGTACTGCATGGAGCCTGTAAAGTCGTCAGGAGTTTGGATCCCCTTCTCTGCATGGTTAGCGACCATGAGAGAGCAGGAATTAGAGCTACCACAGCTCGCTTAAGTTTTCGACACTGAACGAGGTGATCAACACATAAAAACCGCGGAGATCACTTTATTCCTGCGGCAACAAAAGTATTATAAGTTAATACATGGGGTCTTTTTCACCAATATTCATGACCTCGCCTAATCAAAGCACCTGACCTTCGCTTTTCTTAGGTCAAGTGGGCTGAAGCCGGAAACTGTTGGGTTCATCATGGCTTGTCCGGATGGTGTCTTCAACACCCTCAGTCTATCGCGGTTGCGTGATGGGTATAGAGGTTCCTAACACAAGGTGCAGGACCTGCCGTGAGGCATCTGAGACCCTAATGCACTTGATGTTAGTATGTCCAGCATAAGTGGTTTGAGGCTATATACATCGACATAACGATGCCCTAAGAGTGCTGTATTACCACCTAGGGCACCTACGAATATTGAATCTGTTACGAGGAACGAGAAGTGCCGAATTTATTGAATTCAATCTCTCCCCACCATCTGGCTCATACAAGCTAATAAGCCTGATGTAGTTCTTCTCGACCATCAGGATAAGACGACATTTGTCGTGAAGTTTTCAGCTTCTGTAGAAACGAATATCGTCTAAAAAGAACAGGAAAAAAGGATAAAACATCGATATTTTCTCTTCTAACTCTGCAGGCTCTATACAGTTCACTCTGTCAAGATGCTTGTTCTGATTATTGAAGTCTTTGGTGGAATGATGCCCTTTCTACTCTCGAATCTCAAAATCATGCCGGCTTACCGCACTAAGGCAAAAATTTTAGCCGGACAAATGTGGAAGGCTGTCATTCTTGGCTCACTACGCTTGCTTAGAGCACATGAGTCTTGGACCCAATGATCACTTACCCCACGGTGTGGGTAGTGGTCGTTAATTGATAATGCTGGCGCCCCCTCTCCAATGTATCGGTGCTTTGGGGATAGGGCCCGACCAGTGCAAACTTAGGGAGTAATAATAATGATGATAATAATAATAAAACGTATCTATTCACTCTAACGAACTGAATTGAATATATCAGATGGACATAAAGATGAGTAAGTAAGAAGGAAAAGCAGCCAAGGTCGTTTTATAACTCAACCTGAATAAAAAATAACTGTATTTACAAAATAATTGAGCGAGCGAAAGGCTCAATAAAATTACTAACAACTGAAAGAAAGAAAGAAAAGTGTAACAGAATGTGAAAATTTGTACTTTGTATAGCCGAAGTCAAGGACGAACGAGAGACTATATAATAAAGTAAGGCTCCATTTTTTTTCTTTGCAGTGAAAGTAACAATGAATGACAGAGGACAAATCTTGTTCGGCGGTCGATGTAGAAGCTCGGCTTTTCAAAAAAACGCCTAGAGAAGCCTCGTTGATCTTTGATATTCGTGGATTGAGTCTTCCATCAATTCCATACACGGCGTTTTCACAGTATCAATAACATATAACATAGTATTCTGCTATCCAATTCAGTGATTTTTCATATTCTCTGTTGCAGGTGTCTCTCGATATCTCGGGTAAAATGTTTTGTGCTACATTTTGTCTCTTTTACAATTTCTACAGGAATTTCAGAACGTTCCTGCATTTGAAGTTTTCAATTTTGATGTTCAGAAAAATTGTAAAATTTATTTCTCTTCCAGAAATAGCATTTCATTGGCAACGATTATCATTCAATCAAAACAGAAAAAATATTTACATATACAAATTTCATGCCAACGAAAATCTTCCATGATTCATTATTCATCAGAAATAGATTTTTCACCGAAAGTGATACCACAAGACCTCAAAATCTCATCGATAAATTTACACGTTTGTTTGAAGGTGATTTGACAATGTTTCATGATGAGTTTCATTAGATCGGACTTCGATTGTCTGATATTACATAAAATGATTTGAAATCCCTGAAAGACCTAATACAAAGGAAAATTAAAAAAGAATAGCTGTTGAACAAAAAACCTGAAACTTAATACCAGCGAAATAAAATACAAGTAAAAAATAAAAAATTAAGAGATACCAAGCCAAGTTACTTCACGACGTTTCGATTGTTAGTATCTACAATCGTCTTCTAGTGATGACTGGACTAATTCTTCCGAGTGATGACTAATAATGGTTCATTCGAGTACTTTCACTCATCTCCGTTTTCCTTTTTCCGCTTTACCGGTTTAGTGGGAGATGACCGTTTGGCGGGAGTTGGCCACTTTTCACTTGATTTTGGGTTTCCACATGTTGCGTATCTCTACACTAGCTTGCATAGCTGAATACATTGTTGGATAACATGTATGCGGCTTCTTTGAATTTCCTCCTAAACCAATGTTTCTCCCTGTGTATGATTTCAGCTTGGGACCACTCGATGTTATGTTGATGAGTCCAAACATGCTCTGCTATTTCCCCTCGCTGTGTGTGTTTCTTGTGCTCGGCAATAAGAACATTCAATGGCCGATTTTATTATACTAAGACAAATTCGTTGGAAAATTTTCACATTTTTTGTATAAAAACGAAGAAGTAGAAAGCCAAAATCTTTTTTTTATATGAATTATTCTCTTTCCGATTTAAATAAGATTCCTATGACTGGGAATGAATCAAATAAGCGAATGAATGCCATTACGTACTGTCATCGATGACATCGATGACTTCTGTATTAAAGTGATTATACAAAATCACTTTTCTCTATTTAGTTTGTGTTTCAAACATTTTTTATGGAATTGAATGAGATATCTTTCACAAAATTGCCACACAATATATTGTGTAGCGATAATGGCGTTGTGGAATGATGTTTCACACAGTTTGGTGCATGTGAACGGAATTTACAAATTTCTGGTTTATAAACTAGAACTAAGGAATATGATATTTTCAGGAACCAACTATTCATTCATATAAGACACATCAATATTGAATAAACACAAACTTTGCACCTTCATCAATTTGGAACAAGATTGAAAAACTCAACTTTCATTTTATGAATGAATACAAATATCATCATAACCAGTCAACATGATATTTCAAACATCTTATTCGGAATATTGAATTTAATCGTGAAAAATAATCAATTCATTGAAGTGGTTTTGAACTATCAGTTTGAAAAATCAAAGACTGAAAAGAAATGAAAAATATCGTGTATATATGAACTGTGTGTATATATATGCGTGTGTGTATATATATGAACTGTTCCTGTGTTATGAATACTTCATAATATCTCATTTGAGTGAATTCCTTGACAAATCAAATGTTCTTTTTCATATTGTCAATTGGTTTTTCCTAGTATAAACATTGTTTGTTTCTAAGGAAAATAATTTGTTTCAATATCAATGATTCTGCTTATTATGCCATGAAAATATTTCAGAAAAAGTCAATACACTATTTTTACATACATTCAGAGTGTTTGAAGATGAAAAAGAAATGTTTTCCTTCAATTGGAAGTTCTATCGACCTGCGAAGTTTAATGTGTGACGCGTATGTCACGATCTGAAGAAAAATAACATTGTACTTTTTTTTAAACCCAAAGGCATTTTTCAGTAGCAAAATAAAAAAGTTGCGGGATTTTTTCAAGGACAAAACACAAGCACTACAGCAAAAACCTTAAGGCGTTCTAAGAGCGGTGCCTGTACGACAGTAGCGAATCACGTTTGATTTGAATCGCTGGAGATTAAATTTATTCGGAAATAAATTTGGAATAAAAAGACATAACTAATAACAAAAAGGTCATTTATTTGATCACCTCAATCATAAACCCTTTAAGATTTCGATCGACGGTTATATAAAAATACCTATATTTCTATCAGTTACATCTGATGCTATCACATTTGCAGTACATTATTAATTTTTGTTAAATTCTGTAAAATATCTAACACATTTCTTATGTACACTATATACAAATAATAAATAAAGATCTATACAATATTGCATCATTGGAATAAAAAACTACTAATACGGCCTCCAAACAGCCTTGATTGCACCAACTGTCGCGGATGATTTGAGTTTGGTATTCAAAGAGTTCGAATTCGAGCAAATAGGCTTAACGGTCCTAGAAATAAGCGATTTTTGTTCACTTTTGGCGGGCTCCTTGTCCTGCACGGTGGAGTCGGGATGCTGGATCTCTTGCAAAAGAACACTAGCGGGCTTGATGGGTAAAAACGCGGATTTAACAACGTCAATATCTTCTTCAGAATCTTCAGAAGCAGACCCAGAACTTTGGTCCATGGTAGAGTGTATCCTGGTTTCTTGAGCATTAACGGAAAGCTGAGGACTACTGCTCTGACTATTCGAAACGGGGGATATCCTCATACTGAGCTGGTCCAAAGGGTTAGTCATTGCGTGCCGTAGGTGCATGTCGAAACCAGGCAGTTTGGTGAGGTCTTGAGGAAACGGCGGTATTGTTGCCGGTACATAGTTTGGCCCATGATGAAAACTAGCTGGGAGGGTGGGTTGGGGTTGGGCGTAGAAGTCATGGGGTGGCGGGAGACTGGAAGCTAATGGAGGACCTGAAAAAGAATATGAAACGTTAGTAACAAGTTATTTCGAGGAGTTATTTGATATTATCGAGACGTCAAACGACAAAATCAAATGAATTACACACCCCTAAACTTTATATTGGCCAAACAGGCAAAACCTTTCCCCTAAAGAATGAAAGATCATACGAGTAGTGAAGATCATTACCACATTTGCAAACAATATTTTATCAGAGGGTCAAAAGTTCAACTACGACTATGGCGTATTACATTTGGAAGATTGGTAGATTCAAAAATTCGGAAAATTTACTTGGATTCTCCCCTTCTGTTGATTTTATTTGCTGATGAGGAACTGAACTGCAATACGAATTGCAGTCCAGTCTCACTTTTTGAATTCCCTAACATGAAAATTGACGTGAGAGACAAAAAATCAGTTTAAAAGAAAGGTTTTCGCCGAGACAAAACGTATTTTACCAGTTTAAAGGAGTGGCGGAAACGTTATGAAAAGAGGCTAGACTTCAAGGAACATCACTTTGTAAAATAAATAATTCGCAAAAAAATTCGTCACTATTCTCAACAAGGGTAATTATTGGTCATCCCCTGTATTGGATAATCGGATTAGAGTACAAAATGAAAAATTTCCCTTATTGGGGGTTTACTTTCTTAAGACTACCCAAAATTATCGAAACAAGAAATTAATTTTGACGAGGAGTTATTTAGATAAATTAAAATTCTCTTCTCAAATCAATTTAGATAAGCAGATTAAAATCCCACAAAATACAATCTTCTGGAATGAGACATAATTTATTCAATGGGTCCATTCAAAACTCTACGAATTTTGCAACCTATAGACAAAGATTTGTGAATACATTTAACATCAAAAGGAAAATATCTAGAAATTAATATTTAGAAACAAATTCTTTCTGCTTTCTCAATTTAATTTTTATGTTATTAATATAGAAAAAATAACTGGCAGAACGATAAACAACTTATATCATTAAAAACTCAAAAAAGGGTACATATTTGAAGTGAGAATATTCCTTTCAGATAAAAATTGCAATGAAGAACTCATATGAAATAACTATTTACCACTGTGAATATTGAATGATAGAAAAAATATGTATTCTTGCCCACAAAAATAATGAAAAATAAAAGATTCCATTTGTGGAATAATTATAGGTAGTTGCAATAAATATCAAAACTATTCAATTTTTTTCCTTTCCTTGGAAGTTAATTGATATATTGATGGACAATTGTTTACGTAGCTGATTTTTTTAATGAAATATCAAATATCATTAAAAATTTCAACAAATGTCAATTTGTTTTTATAATCATTGAAAATTGTTGGTAGGAAAATTTTTCCGATTATAAAAAAATACGTTTTTTATTAATGAAAAATATGAGCTCATGTGGCGAGTTATAGAACACCCAAGTTTTAGATTACACGAAAATGTATCAATGTGTATTTTCTCGAAATAATTTTCACTCAATTCACACTAATTTTCCAAATATACAAGAATGATAGTCATTTCAATTATTAGAATTTGAATACTATGAAGATTTCAAATTTTGAGACTAACTTGAAGCAATCGAGAATTTTTGTTATTGCCTTGAATAAAATTCCCTAAATTGACAATTGTGAATAATTTTATTTGATGTGTTTTAATATTGATTCTTCTTGTCTAATATTATTATGGATTTGATAGATTTTACTTCCTCATTCTGAAAGTAACATGTTTGAAAAATCTCATTCCAGAAGTTGACCCCTGAATAATTTTGCAACTATAAAACTTTTTAAGTGTCTGCCCTTACCTTTCACTAGGGGTTGATGTACATTAGGTTGTTGATGCTGAAGATTTGTCGTTCTCCTGAGGTAATCGGGCAGGGCATAAGTCAAGTATGCTGTATCCAGCCACCCTTGGTGGAGAAGGAAGGGGTTGAAGCCACCCGGGAGTCCTGGCAACCCATATCCATATTGGTAATCTAGAAAAAGAACACCAGTTAAGTACCTCTTGAAACATTATCCGTGTTTACGAATCCCGAAAATTGTAAACAAAAGTAAATTCCCCAAATGCAAGACACATGCTCAATAAAATGGATTCCAGTGTTTGAATTTGATCGCAATAACCATAAAACTGACATTTTCTTGGCTGAGGATTTGATATGCCGACAAACCTTCGTGACTATTAAATTTTTCATGTGTTTACACTGACAGCATATGTTTATGTATTGTTTTGGTTGTTTATCAAACATAAAAAGACGTTAAACGGTCGTTATTGGCTTGTTGGCTGGTTTACAAAGAGATTCTGATGTTTTATTTTTAGACGAGTTCAACGGAATACTCACTAGATTTCGTTCGTGGCTCCCTCGGGCCGTCCACGGTTACTTTGATGGCCTTGTTGTAAGTCGCCATTTGGTGATAGGGCAAAGATCCGATGGTAATGGTGAGAGTGAAGCTTTTTCCTCTTCCTGATCTCCCAACGAAGCGGAGGTCGTTAAATTTCGCTACTTGACCTCTCATGACCGATGTGCAATTTCGGAGTTCCGCACAGTAATTTTCGTCATTACCAGCCTTGAGGGTGACCACAGTCCCATCTGGTACGTCGTCCAGAGCTACAACCTTGAAGGCGATAGGCAAACTTTTGTTGGACCGCCAGTGGACTGGCAAGATACTGCATAAGATAGCAGGGCTGCCAGTTTGGACCAGCTCCCCGTGGTACTCCTGAAGAGTTTCCTGTACAGAATTGTACATATCCATTATAGCTGTGTTGCTGTTCGGCAGATGCATTTAGTCCACACTCACAAAACAGTTTATATAAAACACCACGTAAACTTTCTTCAACTATCCAAGTTCCAACACTTTCAAACTCGTGAGAAATACTGATTCAAAACTTTTTCACAACTGGATATTAATGTTCGGGTATCACCCCCTCCTACTACTTCAAAGGAGGGTAGTTTTTAAATAGCTAGACCGACGAGGAAAGAGAAGCGTCGAATTACTGGATTACGGCACAGGTAGGACAGAGAGGGCAGATGTCTATGCGTTTGGGCAAAGTTTTATAATACCTCGTCGACAGAGAGAAGCTTCTGCGACGCCCGATTGGTGGGAGCGAGAAACGGAAATCTTGTTGACTAGTCATGGAGGGAGAAAAAATTATTTGCCGCTAGTGAATGAAAGAGGGTGTGATTGTCGACAAACGCTAGAGTGAGATATAATTTTTGGTTTACACAGGACAGAGTCGGCTTGTAAATCTTTTCAATGAAAGTTTGTCTTAGATATTATACGGTTAGATTCATGGGCTTTCGGGCAATTTTACCGTGAAATATTGCATTGTGGGTGAATTTTGGATTGTAAATAAGGTGTGCCGTTTTCGAAATGGAATAATAGAAATTGGAATTGTTTGCACACTTATAACGGGTTGTTTTGTTGGCTTTCCTGGGAAATGCTTTCACTTTTATAGCGATGGGTCGTGCTTAGATGGTAAATCATCAAGTTTGTTGGTAGATTACAAATGATGAAAGCCAAGAAAAGTACATATATTGAATATGTTCAAATAATATTATAGCTTTTCATTCTCATGTCAACTGATTTATTACTTCTAGAAACTGTATTTCCAAGTGGGAAAAATCATTGCTCACAGACTGCCAGATTTTAAATTAAAATCAAGCTTCGAGATGATGAAATTTCAACTTTTAACAAAATCATGGTCATTAGTGATATGTAGGATGTATCACGAAAACTAAATTCATGACATTTTCATGAAGTGAAAAATATCAACCAAAATTTGATGAAATAAAAATTCATAGTTCGAAATGTTTCAGAAATGCAATTGCACTCTTGATTTAAACAGAACCCCAGAAATAAAATAATTTGGAATTTATGTAGATTGTTGCCTGAAGTCGAAGAAACATTCAGTTGAGTTAACAAAAAAATTAAGAAAATGTCTTTATAGGTTCAGGCTTCTGAGAAATATATTTGAAGTGAAAACGCTAATGATATTTTATCACATGCATTATTCTCCAATATTATGACCTATTCATAAATATGCAATAAAAATAATTTTTAAAAAAAAACATCAGTATAATACAAGATCAAAGACCAATGAATGCTTTCAAATTGCTAAGTGAAGTCTACATTTAATGCAACAACACTGCAAATGTATTGGTTGTGAAATTTACAATATAATTCCAGAGAACAACAGCATATAAGAAAATATTACACAATTGGATATTAGATACCAAATAGTGAGAAAATTTAAAATGTGCTCACATTGAAATAATTCAGTTCAACAGATAATTCATTTCACACTCATTCATAATAAAATACTATTATTGATAAATTTCTTCATTCCAATTCATTTTTCATGAACAATATCACGTATCAACAGTTAACATAATCAGGGCCGTAGCGAAAATAAAAACCAGGGGGGGGGGAAGGAATCCAAATTTTCCCAACCGCACCAACAAAATTTCCCAACTTTCGAAGAAATGAAAGGCGAGGAATTAGTTACTACTATAATATATTAATTTTCTTACTTAGCTATCCAAAGATTGGCTGAATGCTTATTCCCGTTAGGGTATGCACAAACAAAAATAAATTTTGGTGATTATAAAAATAATAATGGGAATTATTCTACTTTGGACAATAAGGTCCTTGGTCTTCCACCATATCCACATGTATAGGAATATTAAATTCAAATGAAAGGAAACAACACTTAAATAATATTATGTTTATTGTTTTATGCTATTATTTTTTTTATCTTCACGTTCCGAAATATTTTTTACTATTATTTTGTTCTATCTTCCCAACTTTTTCCCAAGTCGAAAAAGCAAGGGGAGGAGGCTCCCTCCACCTCCCCCCCATTGCGACGGCCCTGAACATAATCCTTATTTTTCAAATAACCCAGTCAAACACAAGTGTTTACACTTAGCAGACTGTGTTAAAATATTATGCATGTACTAACAATTTTTTAATATTTATATACATGCATTTGATATTGTACATTTGTTAATATATTTGAATTTGAATCGTGTATTTATATTAAAATCAAAACCGTTTTTTTTATATTTATGAATAGTGACTCGCAGATGAAGACACCACTGTATCTTTGGAATTTGAAAGAATAGAAATTTGAAATTTTGCAGTTGTATAAAAGTTCTACTATTGATTTACAAACGGGATCAATTACCAAAATTTAGATTCGGAATATAGAGAAAAAAATATATAGAGAAAACTACATAATTCAAATAAAGATATCGAGTTTGATGATTTCGAATGTTTTATTACTTTTGGTCTATAAATAAACATAAGAATCATTTGGTGATTATTTATTAATTGGTATGTCACGGAATGTACACAGTGTGAATTAACTGTTAATTTGCATTGATAATCAAATTGAAAATAAAGCAAAGTGGAGAAAAGTAAATAATTGCAAATTTTATCGTCAAAAAATTCGTAATACCTTCAAAATCAGATCAATATTCTCTATAAATCTCTAAAATATTTTTCAATAGGTATATCTGATGCAAAATATCAAGAATTGGTTCTGTTTTGTGAATTCGAAGCAGGTCAAGTTTGGAGTTCAGATTCCAATTAAGTATCCTGAAAATATTACCTGTCGTCTCATGCAGGGTGTAACAAAAAGGTAGGTCATGAATTGAACCACATACTGTGGCATCAAATATAACTCGATCAGATGTAATTCAACACAATGCAAATATACACACGAAAACAAAAATAGAGCTTTTGGGAAGCACAAAATGGAAATTGATATTTCACAATATTTCATGAACTTTTTAACATTTCGTGATGATGATTGATCTATGGCTTTTTCATCATTTGAGCGTCTTGTTCATATGAAACCACGAAATCTGTTCAGCTCATAATACATTTAGAGAGATATTGAACCCCTAAAACCCCCAAAACTTGTATATGCCTTACAATAAAATCAGTATTGTAACACCATTGGTTCAATACACCGTTTTAGAAAAATGTTTGTCATTTAGAACTTTTTCGAAATGCGGGTTCTTTTTCACTACCCTTCAAACATTTTTCNTTTGTCATTTAGAACTTTTTCGAAATGCGGGTTCTTTTTCACTACCCTTCAAACATTTTTCAGTTGGCTGTTCCACACTTGCAGTTCCTACAGATAAACTTCTGACTAGCCAAGAAATAGGTGCATCAGGACCCCTTCCGATCCAACGTCCAGGGTACAGATCGAAAAGAAATTCCCTAACGTTATCAGTGTCATTGCTTTTCGAGTTTAAAAGCCGTGGATTTTTCGAATTTCTTCCTGACGTTTTGCTGGCGCGAGTGGCTAGCCTCTTTAGAGGTTTAACCATCATGGCTTGCTGTCCGATGACGACAGCAAGCAAGCCTCTGGACAGCAAGCCTCTGAAGAAGCTAGCCACTCGCTCCAGCGAAACGTCAGGAAGAAATTCCAAAAATCCACGGCTTTCAAACTCGAAAAGCAATAACACTGAAAACCTCAGCCGTGAAAGTCTAAACCATTTTGTTCCCTAACTTTCTTATCGAAATGTGCTAGAGCTACATCTTGCGAATACCATATATTTTGCCATATTCCCAAATTCACCTCTTCGTATTCTAGTAAATCATTTTTTTAAAACTGTAAGTAATTTCCATCATTTAAATTATTTGGAAGAAATACTGGTCCTATTAAATTATTATTCACAATGCCTGCCCAAACAAGACAGAAACTTTTTTGGTGATGAGTCGTTTTTTGCGTAGAAGTTCAATTCGACCCATATGTATGCGTTATGGTTATTCGTAATGCCATTTCTATTAAGGGTAGTTTCATTGGTGAATAAAATGTGATTAATGAAACTGATACTTCGATTATTTTCCGTTAAGAACAAGGTTACTGTACTACCCTTTGTAAACATTGATACATTCGGAATTCATTTAAAGACAATAACTACATTCTTTTTTATGATTCTGGTATTTCTAGCAAATTAAATTGCTAATAACGAGAAAAAAATCCAAGCTGAAAGACCATGGTTGAATGACTCGCAGTCAACTCACATACAACTGATGATGCCTGTCTCAGAAAAAAACGAAACGTTTGTTTCTTCAGGTTACATTCGACTATGACCTACCAGTCCGGATTTTGCTCTTTTTAATCATGACACCGGCTGTGAATATAATTAATATATGATGAATATAATTACATATTGTCACCGTGACACGAGAAAATTTAACACATCCATGACATCAAGTCGTAATGTAATGGATGAATTGAGGGCTTCGTCTTATAATGTTATAGATCGGTGCTGAAGGTACAATAAGACAAGTGTTTCATTCCGGAACACCGATGTACGCCATTGAGGATGACAATGTTCCATTTGAGTGAAAATCACCTCTTTCTAATACTGTACTGTGTAGCAATCCTGATTCAATTCCATAACGAATGTTTGAAATACAAACTGGATAGAGAAAAGTGTTTTTGTGTAATCCAATATGCATATAAAAGCAGTGGTTTGAAAAGTATTCTTCTTTCATTAAATTTAATGTTTATGTGAAGGTTGTTATTTCCAGAAGGATTTTTCTTTCAGTCTGAAAGTCACTTCTCTGCATGATCTACACATGTTAAATATAATTAATATATGATGAATATAAGTACATATTGTCACCGTGACACGAGAAAATTTAACACATCCATGACATCAAGTCGTAATGTAATGGATAAATTGAGGGCTTCGTCTTATAATGTTATCCAGATCGGTGCTGAAGGTACAATAAGACAAGTGTTTCATTCCGGAACATCGATGTACGCCATTGAGGATGACAATGTTCCATTTGAGTGAAAATCACCTCTTTCTAATACTGTATTGTGTAGCAATCCTGATTCAATTCCATAATGAATGTTTGAAATACAAACTGGATAGAGAAAAGGGTTTTTGTGTAATCCAATATTCATATAAAAGCAGTGGTTTGAAAAGTATTTTTCTTTCGTTAAATTTAATGTTTATGTGAAGGTTGTTATTTCCAGAATGATT